CCCGGAGGGTTTAAATAGTTGGCACGAAACCCAAATATGGCAATCAGCCCAAACTATTATGATAGCAAACAAGTTTCAGTCAAATACGTGGTAAAAACATTAATCGAGGCGGACCAAATCACAATCCCCAATAGTAAACGACCCTACGCTCATCATCAAGCGCATGTCTCACCTCAATATATGTGACGATCCGGCCAGTCGTCTCATGATTTAACGCTTCGTTTTCCCTATTTCAGCTTTTTTATGCTTCGTTATCCGTGTTTTATGTGATCAAATTGAGTAGTTTGTGTTCGGAGTGGATTTGGTAAGAAATGAGACACTTAGTCTCTTTTAAGATGGCTTGAGTTGGAAAAGTTAACTGGATGTTGACTTATGCGTTAGAGGGCTCGGATGTGAGTTCCGATGGTTTGGTTAGCTTCTAGAGGTGATTTATGACTTAGGAGTGTGATCAGAATTGGTTTTGGAGGTCCGATGTAGAATTAGGCTTGAATTGGCGAAGTTAGTATTTTGACGATTTCTGGTTGATAGGTGAGATTTTGATCCGGGGAGTCGGAATGGAATTTCGAGAGTTTCTGTAGCTTTGTTATGTCATTTGGGATGTGTGTGCAAAATTTTAGGTCATTCGGACGTGGTTTGGTTGGGTTGTTGATCGAAAACGTATTTCGGAGGTTTTCAAAAAACTTAGGCTTGAATTCGATGTGAATTGATGGATTTGGTGTTGTTTGAGGTGTTTTGATGATTGGAACAAGTTTAAATGAGGTTTTAGGATGTGTTGGTGCTTTTTATTGAGGTCCCGGGGGCCTCGGGTGAGTTTTGGGTAGTCAATCGGACCATTTTCTAAGTTGTAAAGTTGCAGATTTTGGGAGTTCAGGTGTTGCAGAAAATAACCCTTTGCATTCGCGAGGGGTATATCGCGTTCGTGTAGAAGGGATTTGGGAGACAGTAATTTAAGCCTTCGCGTTTGCGTTTGAAGGCTCGCGTTCGCGGAAGGCGAAGAGTTGGTGCTTATGCTCGCGTTCGCGTATAAGGAAATAGTGTCCAAGAGCAATTGTTCTTCGCGTTCGTGTGTGAGGGAACGCGTTTGCGTAAGTGTAAAGCCTGAAGCATCGCGTTCGCAGAGGGCGAGTCGCGTTCGCGTAAGGTTAATTTTGGCTAATTTAAAAATGTGCTTCGCGTTCGGAAGGCTGAGGCCACGAACGCAATGAAGAGATATCAGAACTGGGCAGAAAGTTTATTAAACATTTCATCCGCGATTTTTAGTCATTTTTCCTCCATAGCTGAGTATTTTGAGAGCTTTTTGAAGGTGATTAAAGAGGGATTCAAGGAGAATTGATTGGAGGTAAGATTTTTGAACCTAAAACGTGATTCTATTGTGAAATTAACCTAGAAATTCATGGAATTTAAGCTAGAAATGGAAGAACTAGGGCTTGGGATGTTGAACTTTTGAATTGGGATTTGAGGGACCATTTGAGCCGGAATTGAGAACTCTTGGTATGTATGAACTCGTGTGGTGATAAGGAATCTAATGATGTGAAAATTTCTGAGTTTCGAGATGTGGGCTCGGGGCTCGAGTTTTGCTAATTTCGGGATTTTTGATATTTTTCGATTGTTTTCGCTTGGGCTTTTTTCCCTTAGCATATTTTGACGTATTCGTTCTGTTTTTGGATAGATTCGACGCGCGTGGAGGCTGATTCGAGGGGCAAAGGCGTCGCGAGCTAGAGTTGTAGTCGGTTTGAGGTGAATAATGATTGTAAATGATGTCCTGAGGGTTTGAGACCCCTGATTGCACATCGTAGTGCTATATAGAGGTAAGACACGCGCTGGATGATTAGCGTGGGGTCTTTTACTATTGGGGATTGTGATTTGGTCCGTCCTGATTGATGATTTTATCGCGTATTTGACTGAAACTTATTTGTTAACATCATGATTTGGGTTGATTGCCATATTTAGGCTTCGTGCCAACTATTTGAACCCTCCGGGGATTTTTATCACTAATTCCTCACTGTTTAACTTATTACTTGAACTCAGTCCTGTTGATATTTACTGTTTTACAAACTCAGCCACTTTTATTCGTATTTGAACTTAAATGATATTTCTAAATGATGTTTTGGGCTGAGAACTGCTGTTTTACTAATGCCCAAGGGGATTGTGATGATTTTCGGACTGAGTGAGGCCGAGGGCCATATGTGAGGATATGCTGAGTGATATGAGGCAGAGGGCCTGAGATACTTTTTATACGCCACGAGGTGGCTTGATTGATATGAGGCCGATGGCCTAGATTTGATGCCACGAGATGGCTTGATATTGCGCTTAGGCCGTAAGGGTCCCCTCCGGAGTATGCACCCCCATAGTGAGCATGGGTACCCATCATGATTTGAGAGTGAGCCCGAGAGGCTGATACTGTACTAAGAGTGAGCCCTATGGGCTAATATTGTACTGAGAGTGAGCCCGAGGGGCTGATATTATACTGAGAGTGTGCCCGAGGGGCGGATACTGTTCTGAGTGATTGTTACTGTGCCCGAGGGGCAGATTTCTATTTGTTATATATCTGCCAGATTACCTGTTTTACTTGGTTTAAAGGGATTTCATTTGACTTCCTCACTGATTTACTGCTCTAAGTGATTTTACTGCTTGATATAGAATTGCTTGTACCTTTACGTGTTTTCTTGATTTCAGCCATTATTTATGATTATTACTCACTAAGTCGGAGTACTCACATTACTCCCTGCACCGTGTGTGCAAATTCAGGCATCGCAGCGTCCACTCTTGAGTGCTGATCCTCCCAGTCCAGGCAGTCTTTTCGGAGACTACGAGGTAGTTGTTGGCATTCGCAGCCCGAGTGCCTCCCTTACCTTATCATTTCATGCTTTTAGAACTATTGTATCGAACTCAGTGTTCAGTAGACTTGTATCTGGATTTCGTAGTTGCTCATGACTTGTGACACCCCGATTTGGGCTGTGTTGGGATGGTTTCTACTGTTATTATCGTTATTTCCGCGAACTATGGCTATTATATCATGTTTTAAAACTATTTATGGTATTTAATTGATTAAATGAGGTGTTCTCCTTTTGGTCTGGCTGGCCTTGTCATCACGAGAGGCGCCATCACGACCGGGTTCGGGGTCAGGGTCATAACAATATAGCACTACGATGTGCAATTCGGGGTTTTAAACCCTCAGGACATCATTTACAATCATTACTCACCTCAAACCGGCTAATTCTCTAGATCGCGATGCCTTTGCCCCTCGAATTGGCCTCCACGCGTGCCGAATCTATCCAAAATCAGAACGAATACGTCACAATATGCTAAGGGAACAAAGACCAAACAAAAACAATCGAATTACCACAAAATTCCAGAAATTGGTCAAACCCGACCCCCGGGCCCACATCTCGAAAATTGACAAAATTCACAAAACTAGAATCCTTATACTCTCACCAGTCTATCCATACGAAAATTATCCAATTTCGATACCATTTGGTCCTTTAAATCATCATTTTACATTTTTGAAAGATTTCACAATTTTCTTCCCAAATTTCATCCCAAATCACGAATTAAATGATGAATTCAATGATAGATTCATGTACTTTAGCCAAATCTGAGTTAGAATCACTTACCCCAATGAATTTCTTGAAAAACCTTTGAAAAATTGCCAAAATCCGAGCTCTCTAGGTCAAAATATCAAATAAAACCCAAAACCTCATATTTATAGAGTACCCCACAGATTTCCACCTCCGCAGGCCGCACAAAATCGACCGCGGTCAGCACAACCTAGTGCGGTCCGCACAAAAACGACCGCGGCCGCACAGGCTTTCCTCTGCAGTGATATGCTTTTAGTATTTTGGCTATGACTTTATCTATAGATGTCCAAATTGCTATATCTTTATCTTTCTGGAAACTAGACACGAAGGACTACAACTTTTGTTTTTGAATCATTTCAAAATTCTTTGTAGATCAAAAGATATGATCTTCCGAAGTAGGACCAGTGGAATGTTCTTCACCGCGGCCGCACACCATTTTGTGCGGTCTGCACAGCACTCACCGCGGACGCACTTCATTTTGTGCGGACCGCGCTGGTGAGTTCCGAGGCCTGCAACCCTTCTGGAACTGCTACAGCTATGATTTTTGGCCTAAAACATCCCGGAGCCTACCCGGAACTCGCCCGAATCCCTGGGACTTCAAACCAATTGTACAAATACATCCCATGACATTGTTCAAACTTGTTCAAAATCTCGGGACGCTCACAACAGCATTAAATCACCAATTTAACATGGGATTCAAGCCTAAGAACTCCAAGAACTCTTAAATTATGCTTTCGATCAAAAGTCTATCAAATCTCACCCGAATGACCTGAAATTGTGCACACACATCCCAAATAACACAACGAAGCTACTGCAATTCTCGGAATTCCTTTCCGACCCCTATATCAAAATCTCGCCTATCAATCGGAAATCGCCAAACTATCAACTTTGCCAATTCAAGCCTAAATCTTCTCTATAACTCCAAAACCCATTCCGATCGTGCTCCTAAGTCACAAATCACCTCCCAAAGCTAACCGAACCATCAGAACTCATATCCGAGCCCTCTAACATATAAGTCAATATCCAGTTGACTTTTTCAACTTAAGCCTTCTTAAAAGAGACTAAGTGTCTCATTTCTTACCAAATCCTCTCCGAACTCAAACTAATCAACCCAATCATATAAAATACGGATAACGAAGTGTAAAGAAGCTGAAATAGGAGAAAACAAAGCGGTAACTCATGAGACGACTGACTGAATCGTCATATATAGCTAATTGCTCATTAGTTCCTATCTTATTCAAACTCCTAGAAGCTCTCTTAGATTGTATAGATGTTTTTGAAAATAACAATTAAGAAATTACAATTTTCTTGTGTCATGTTTTCTTGGTTGTGCTGTTGCTAGTAGGATATTTCTGGAAGCAGAAGTATCATTATACTCAAATTATATTTCTTATTTTTACTTGACCTTCAAACATTATCCAGGTTATAATTTCACTGAAAAAAGGGAGTTGCATCTACTAAAGTATGACAAAAGAGAGAAGCCAAAATTCTGCCTCTGAGCTTATCTTTGGTAAAGTATTTCATGGAACATCTCTCGTGCTTTTCAACCTTTAAGGAAATTCTCAAAATAAATAGTATCGTATTTGTAATATGTATCCATAGAATTAATTGAAAAACTTGTCCTTCTCATTTGGAACTGAATAAAATGATCTTTTTAATATGCTATTGCTAGTTGTTGAGGGACTAACATCAATAACTTGCCTCTGCTGCTGCTGTTGTATAAACTCTTGAACTGCTAAGTAAAGTTGAATCCATTGAAATGATTTTCTTATAAGCTTATTTCCTAATTCATCATCTTTTTCCTCATATTAATGAACTCATTTCTCATACTTGTAACATGGAACTATACAAATTATATCAAAAAGATGAGATTAACAATACTCACACTGTTCATTTCAAAAGTATATAACTAATAAAACATATATACCTATGGCAGACAAGTATTGTTTATAAAATGGTAGCATCTTGAATTCTTGTCAGATGTAGCTCTTTATTTTTTTCCACAATATTATATCTAAGTTGTATTATAATACTACAAGTCCCATTTGCCACATTATCTAAGTTGTATTAGCTAACTCTTTTATCTTCCTTTTGTTATCCTTTATTCTTTCTTAGACAAAATATTTTGTTTGTAATCCAATACTATAACTTGATGTAGGGAGCTTCAACAAAAGAACGATTTATCTTATTAGAAATTATACTTCAGTCTCTTCAACCACGATGAATTTGGTATCCTACTTCGCATGCAACCTCATTTTTACGTTGTTTTATGAATTCACATTATATTTAGATGTGTAGACCCATGATGTTTCATATATTACATTCGATATTTTGACACATTTATTTTTTTTTTCCAGGTCATTTACTCGAAAAATTCGCATGTGAAAGATTTCAATATGATGAAGAGTTGTCGAAACTATTTGAAGATATTATTTGATAGGATTAGTTATATCAGTTCAATCAATGCAAGTTTATTTTAAAAGTTGTGACATTAATATTTTGGATTAGTACTTCCTTTGGATTGAGTAGATTCAATGAGATATATTTTATTTTATGAATTAATAATATTATGTTTTCTAGCATTTGCCTACCTTTGTTTCCACCACGAGACACACGTTTACTGTTAGCGACATTTAGTTGAATTTACTTGCCATTAAAATAGAATTTAAAAGGTCAAAATAAGATTTTTACAGTAAGGATACAATAGTCATTCTAATTGCCACAAAAAATTGTCATTAAAACTACTAACGTTTAGTGGCAATATAATTAGACTTATCGGCTATAAAAATGGACGCTAAAAGAGCATAGTTAGTTTGTTATGGATTTAATATACCGGCCAATAGTATTGTCGCAACTAATTGCCGATAAAACTAACGATCTTTAGCGGCGATAAATCATACCCTTTACCAGCTTTTGTGAGAATGGCCGCCAAAGGCTTTGCTGACCCCCGTATTGCTGGCTAAATACCATTGGCCGGTAAAGAAAATAGCGACCACTCTTATTGCTGCTAAAGATATTTTGTAGTGCCGCTAAAGCCCATTTTTGTAGTAGTTCCAACACTTGAACTGTTTTCCCTTTATTCTCCAGGTGGGCTCCTGATTTCCAACACTTGTACTGCTTTCCCTTTGTTCTCCAGGTGGGCTCCTGATTTCCAACACTTGTACTGCTTTCCCTTTGTTCTCCAGGTGGGCTCATGATTTCCAACACTTGAACTGATTTCCCTTTGTTCTCCAGGTGGGCTCCTGATTTCCAACAAAACCGACAAAACAAAAGAAATTTTTCTACCCCAGTTTGATATTGGGAACATCTGTGAGTGTTAATCGAATCTTGTTATCAAAAGAGCTATAAGAACTCAAAAGCTAAATCTCATTGTATAGGAGGGTCCTGAAAATTTCAAATTAAATCTCATCTTAAGAGTGAAACTTTAAAGCTAAACTATGTTTCCTAAAGGTAGAACTTACACTAAATCTTGTTAACTATGAATGTATTACAATTTAATTAGGTCCAATTATCCAGGAAGGTCTTGAGAACTTTAAATTAAATCTCATTATCCAGGAGGGTCCTGAAAATTTTAAATTAAATCCCATTATCCAGGAGGGTCTTGAAAAGCCGAGAATGAACTTACCTGAGCCATGCTTTCTTCCCGGAGGATCTCTGTAGAACGAACAAAATTCCTTGCCCCTGAACCATGCTTTTCCTCATGGAGGGTTCCTGTAGATCGAACAAATTTTTCTTTCCCCTTCTCAAACCGCCTTTGTGCTGACAAAATTTGGGCACGACACTTGAAAAAAATTCAAACTTCCAAGCTTTGATTTGGACACAATTTTTGTCCCTGTTTCAAACAAAGAAAACTTGTGAGTTTATAAATATGGTGGTTAGTTTGTGGCCTTGACTTTGAGGGCGATTGCTCCTTCACTTGCCCTGATAACTTTGATTTCTGCTTGGAGGACCTTGTTTGTCATTGGTTAACTACTTTCTCTGTCAACCTTATCACAGAAAATACCTTTGATCTGTTCACCCAACATCCTCGATCTGTTACATTGTTCATGAATTGACCTATACCAAACCTTTGTATTTCACATGAATCCCAAAGCACGTTGATTGTTACCAACTCAAAGCGCACGCTATTTTTTCCTGACTTACGCCACTTTGATGTACTATCCAGATCCCGTTTTGTGCAATTGGAAAGCTGGTGGTGAATTTTGAAGTCATTTCTCACTTGTTCTGACCAAACAGACTCATGAAGAGGAAGTAAACGAGATAAAAGGAACAGCGTAAAGGATAATGGAAAGAAATGATTCCTAACAAGAAAACTACAAAGTAGAAACTTATCAGATGTGGATACCAACTTTAATGACCATGACATGCACGTGTGGCCTAATCTATCAAGCAAGTTTGATGTTCAACTCTTGTTATACCCCTATACCGTGAAACTGGGCTTCAATGCTCCGATTATCCAATCTGATTCACGGTCCTTATTCGACTTGTAGTGCTCTAAGGGTTTTCACTATTAATCTTCACTCATTTTGTTCTTTTTCTCAACTCACCATCGCCTTATGGTTCCTGTGAAGGTTTTCACCAATAAGACTCTCTCATTTTGTTCTTTTCTTCTTATTTCCTCTAATTTTGCAGATGACAAGGCATTAACCATGGTAAAAATATCATATACTCTTGGAGTGTCTAAACTCAGTACTCTCAAAGATTATCTGGAAGGTCTTTTTTGGACTGTAATGTGGCTTTTGGACAGGGTTAGAAAGAAAGGATAAAGGCTCAAAATAACTAAGATAACAGGGTTAATTTATTTATAACTCTTGGAATCCATTCTAAAAACTTTGCCCCAATTTCTAAAACAAGGGAATTTGATTCTTCTTTTTTTCTTTTCTTTTGATGGAGTTACTAAGAAAGACTGCCCCACTCTCGACTTCGTGGGATTATGAAATATTTTATTTGGTATGATCAAACCGTAAAACTGACTACGTATCTTGTGGTGACAAGAATCAGGTCAACGTAGCTCACAAAACTATTTTTGTTACTATTTTTCTTTTCCCTTTTTCCTCTCTTTTTTTCCTTTTTTCTTCTTCTTTTTCTTTTTCCTTTTTTTTCTTTATCTCTATTTTTCTTTTCTTTTTTTTGAATTTTCCTTTTGGAATGAACTTTCTAAAATAAACCTATGGGGATATGATTTTTTTTCCGTATGACTCTAACTTGATTCCAAAAGAGGGGAGGTCAAAGAAATCAGTACAGGCTCAAAAGGGTATCTAATGGTATAAGTGTTTGGATAGCTGAAAGAGGGTCTCCCAATCCTTGAAAATGCCAAGTACAACACATGCAACTTGAGAATGAAAATTGAAGATCATGCACAATATTTCTTTTGCGGCTTCTGCATTGATATCATTAATATACCTTCCACTTTTCTTTAGCGCCTTGCCAAGTACAGAATCCTCGTTGGGTGATTCCCTCTTCACATTGGATATCCTCCGTCAATTCGGAGAAAACTTTCTTGACTTTATCTTGTAACTTGAGAAGCACTTGAACTCAAAGTTTCTTGCTTCAAATTGTTGGGACGCACTCACTTGTAACAAATTCTTGTCATCCCATTAACTTTCCAAACTATCTACCCAGTTTCACATAGTTCGGGCTTCAAATGATCTCAAAATGTCCAAATTTGTATTTATTGCCCTCAAGCGTCTCTATCATCTTCAAAATTATTTCATTGCTTCATGACTAACCTAATTTTTAAGACCATGCCTAGAATTATGTGTGCATGTCATGTCACTAGAACCAACATGAAAAGAACTATAAAAGGAGAAGAGAACTAAACAAAAATGACTAGAAATAAAAGAAAATAGACAATTACATTAGACAGACGGTGAAAGAGTTTGAACAACAAAACAAGCAAAATAAATTGGGGTACAGCCCTGGAACAAACCTAGACAACACTAAATGAGTTACTACGACTAATGGAACTAGGCAAAATAAAAGGATAGAAGGGTTTGAGTTACAAGATAATATCTGGATTACAACCCTGAAATAACCCGGACAATAGAAATGATAACAAAATGAACCACCAAGACTCCTCCCTGGCTAGCTAAGAGATGGAGCATCTTTCCAATTACCAAGCTCTGCATCTTAGCCACTGAGTTCCACATCAATATTGTCAAGACCATTACCAACCTCAATATCATTAACTTCAGTCAGCAAGTTCCCAAGAGGATTCGCATGCTCCCTGTTACTGTCCTTGATCACAATTACCCTTTCTTGAATCATTCTTTCTATTTCCCTTTTCACAGCACAACAATCTTCAATTCTATGCCCTTGGACGTTAGAGTGGTACATGCATCGTATAGTAGGATCAAAACCCTTTGCATATGGGTCTGGAGTATAGCCGAGGAGCGGCTCAATCAGGCCAGAATGCTTTAACCTTTTAAACAAGCTTGTGTAGGACTCCCCGATTAGTGTGAAACTATTTCTTTGCCTTTGTTCCCCTCCCTGTCCCTATTTTCTAGGGTT